CAACGTCCTCCTCACCATACTAGAGCGGGCTGAAGCGGCGCGAGAAGTGGCGGCCCTGTTACGAGGAACAACGGGGGCGACCAAGGAAAGGGGAGCGGCGCTGGGACGTGTCGTGAGAGGAGAAGGGGGCGTAACTAGTGCGCTGAGGCTGGGAGGAGGAAGTGTGTTGAAGACGGGCCTGCATCCATTGATAGTCCCTAGTGGCCTCGTAAGCATGCGGGGCCAATGTAAACTCGTATTGCCATAGCTCGGAGCGGTACTCAAGGGGAAGGCTGGCCAAAAAACGATCGATAAGGGAAGCCTCGGGAAGGAACGCCACATTACAAATGAGGCGGGCATTCTGAAAGACCTAGATGTGGCGATCGAGGCCGGCAGCGCCATTAGAGTCGGACCAGCGTGTAGTGGCAACACGCTCGAAGGCGTCAGTCACGTCATGTTGGACTCCGAAGCGATCCTCGAGGAACACCTGGAAATCCATGAAGGTTGGAGTCCGACTCGCACAAGGAGGAAGCGTAAAAATCCTCCCAGACGTCGAAAGGACCACCACGCAGGCGCGTGGAGAGGTGGGCCACCCACGTGTCGGGTGGGGTGCCCATGAGCTGGAGGGTGAGGGTGGCAGACTATAGCCACCGAGACACGCGTATGCCTGTACCGTCATACAAGGCAATGTCAGTCAAGCGGACGAGTGGTGCGCCACCGTTTTGGCGGCGAGGAGAGTGGGTAGGAGAGGTCTGTGATACGGCCGAGTAAGTCGGCGCAGGTCCTGGAAAAGGGGGTGCAACTGACTGTCCGCCCGGGCCGCATGGTAGAGCGGCGGGGGGGGCAGCGGCAGGCTGCGAGGGAGCTGCGGTCGAAGAGGTCGCAGCAGCCGGGGGAGTCGGAAGGCGGGGGAAGCGAGCCGACAGGAATAAAAGAGTAGAGGAAGAAGGGGGTGCGCCTGAAGACGCTGCCACCTGTGAGGGTAGGGGTGGCTAAAGGCGTAAAAGGGCGAGGGCGTCCCGACTCTGGACAAACTCGTCCTCGAGCCGTCGAACGTAGATCGAACGAGGAGTGGTAGGAGGAAGAGTGGGGGAAGTGGACGCATGAGCGGCACGGGGCATCCCACAGGGAGAGAACCAGGTGGCGTTGCGGTCGTGCGAAGGGGAGGGAGAAGGGGGGCACCCGGAAAAGCTGAGACCATGGCAGCGGGTTGTGGTCCCGTGGCCGTATTGATCGGAATCTGGGCGGGTGTGCCCCTAGAGTGAGGAAGGGTCTGGCCTGTGGCGGCCGTCACGCTAGGAGCGTGGACGGTCACCAGGATGGCCTGGTCGGGGGCGGCAGAGGAGGAAGCTCCGCCGTGGTCACCATGTCGGAGGACGGGCGACCCGGACTAGGAGCCAGGAAAAGAGAGAGAGTGGGGAGAGGAAGGGCGACTAGTGTCCTGGAGTTGCCGCAGACCAACGGCAAGAGTCGCCATCTGCACCTGTATGGGCTCAAGGAGGGAGGTGATGAGGGTGTGCAGATCCCCCTGGGTTGATGGCCCTGGTCAGTCGGCACGGGTGTGGAGCCCGATGCCGAGGTCGTCGCCGCCTCGACAGTTTGTGACACGCCGTCGGCCATGGGGAGGTAACGGGCGGAACTAAAGGAGGTCCATGTGAGCGGAGGGCATAGAGGGAGGTCGATAGAAGGCGACAAACGACTCTAGTAAATCGAGCGCGGACGCTGTCAAAGGTGGACGGGTGGTTTGGATCCAGGGTGGCCGAATGAGAAGGGAAAGTAGGGGGGTTAGAAAAACCGTAAACCCTAGAAAAACCCTAAGAAAACCCTAACCGGAGTTTGAGTGGTTAGGGTAGGGTACCGGTGACCTATTACTCCAACCTCTTCCTATCCCCGAGGGTCGTTGGCAGTCCATCTCGATGGACTTTATCGGTCCTCTTCGTCCTTTGACCCCCTGCACTCATGATGTTATCCTGGTCGTCGTCGACCGCTTCACGAAGCGCGCCCACTTTGTTCGGTGTCGCTGTGCCATCAGTGCATGTGAGGTCGCCGACATCGTGTTTGACCGAGTCGTGCGTGACCACATCTTACCTCTTAGCATCATATCTGACCGTGACCCGCGCTGTACCAGCTGATTCTGGCGACGGCTCCATGAGGTTTACGGCACCCAGCTCCGCTTCTCCTCGTCTTATCATCCCCAGACTGATGGTCAGACCGAGGTCACGAACAAGACTTTCGGAGATATTCTTCGAAAGCTTGTTCGTGACGACCAGCAGTGGGATCTCCATCTAGCCCACGCGGAGATAGCCTACAACCACGCCGTCTCGCCAGCCACGGGGATGTCGCCTTACTATTGCAACCTCGGCTATCACCCTCGTGTTCCCGCGGATTTCCTTCGACCGTCATAGATGCACCCCGACACGAGTTGTCCCACACTGGATGATTGGGTTGCGCACACGACGTCGATCATGAAGACCGTGTATGAGCACATAGCCGCTTTCCAGACTCGCATGGCAATACGTGCGAACCGATCGAGGATGGATCATCCATTCAAAGTCGGTTATGATGTGCTTATCGGCGCCCACCACTTACATCTCGAAGTGGACACGCTTCACAAGTTTCGGCGTCGCTTCTTTGGCCCATGCCGCATTCTCCAAGTCGTCGGTTCTAATACGATTTCTAGCCCGGTCAACTTTCGTGTGAAGCTACCCTACTACCTACGCCAGGCTCGTGTGCACGATGTCTACTGTGTCTCTACTGCAGACCGTTTGAGCGCTTCGCTGGAGGACCATACGAGCGCCCTCCCCCAATCATGGTGGATGACCACGAGGAGTTCCTCGTTTCAGACATCATTGGTCGCCGAGTCACCGACGACAACCCTCCCCATGTCGAGTACCTCGTACGTTGGAAGTGTTACCTTGATGAGGAGGCTACTTGGGAGCCCCTCGAGCACTTGCAGCACACTCGGATGTTGGTGCGTGCCTATGACCGTGATCGTCGTGCTGGGTTGACTGCTCCTCCTCAACCCACTGACCCTCCTCCTTCTCCCTCGGCTGAGGAGACCGCTGAAGTCGAGCCCACTCCATCTGAGGCAGACCTTCAACAACAGCCGGATGCTTCTGAGCGTCCACAGCGCACTCGTCGTCGTCCTGCTCGATAGACGATTGACTCTAACCTATCTTCCCACGTCTTTGACTTCTCAGTACTCCATCCACTCCAGTTTTGCCACTTCAGCTCGTCGACGTTGCGGCTCTTCCTCGACGGCATTGTGGACTTCTCATCATGGACGTCATCAACAGCTTCTTGGACTTCGTCACGATCAGCTCTGCCTACTTCAAACGTCATCACCCTTTGACCACTTTACCCTGTACAGTACCCTCAGGCTGGTTATGTCGCATGATGGTCTCCTTTCGCCGGGTTCCTCTGAGTTGGGCTCTCCCTTGATATTACGCATAGGCATCGGGAACGTAGGTTGCCCTCGCTTCCCAACTTACGGATCCAGCTCCGACTTCCCTCACTTTATAAGTCATTTGCATAATTCCCTTACCCATCACCTTTCGACCCTCTGTCGGCCCTCATGCCCTAGTTAGGCAGCCTTGCATGCTTCATCTAGGTGCGCCCAGTATACCAGGTTCCTTTGTTCCCTTGCATGGTCGACCCTCCATAGCGGTCACTCCTTTAGTCGAGCATTACCCGCCCTGATGGTCTATCTGTTAGGGTTATTGGTTCTGTTCGCTCCCAGTTCCCTACCCTCATTGAGCCTGATGACATGTGCCTCCCTGTCATTTTGCGTGGATGTCCTTAGGAGTTATCGACCCCTAGGCTGCATTCGCCACCCTCAGAGACCATCCCACCCTTTGGTTTGCGACACACTTCTCCTGTGACATATGGTTGTCTTGTTGTTGCTTTGTTGGTCTCAGACTGAGGCTACTGCCTCTGACATTTCTATGATTTAGTTGTTCTGCTTTTGCTGTTCTTATGACTTATACACTAGTGAGTTGTTTCCAGACTGAGGCTACTGCCTCCAACATTCTAGGATCTAGTTGTCATTACTTTCTGCTTTCTTAGGACATGTATGCTAGTTAGTTGCTTCTGCTTTCACTTAGGCTGTTACCTGTGACATTGCTGTTTTTTGTGACATTTTCTATCCTAGGTTGCATCGCATGGACTCAGCATGGAGCTTGCTCCGCATCCTAGACTACTTAGGTTTTCTTTTTCTTTGGTAGAGTTCCGCTTCTTGGCGGAAGCGTGCTTGTATCTAGGTGATCTATCACAGGCCGAGGATTGTGTAGCGGACCTCTGGTTGGCATGCGAGACCAGCCCCTTGGTCTGTTCTCACAAGCTTGTGTTGTATTCGGGGCAGTCCAGTCCAGACCGGTACCTTTGTCGGTACCAGCCAGTCCAGTTCAGTCTCGTCAGTCCGCTGGGGTATACCCCAACGGATGTCTGTTTTCCGATTCATTCTACATTCGCACACTTTGGAGTACGTGCGTTGGAGTCTGGCGTAGGAGCTGCGATGTGCCATCTCGCTCCCCCTTCTTCCTCCATCTCCATCTCTATCCTTGGCGGAGCACCACACCTGGTGGGTCCGCCACATCCACCAAACCAACTGTAGCAAATCTTCTTTAAACACCTGTTGGAAACCGGGTCTAGCGTCCCATCCTAAGACCACTTTCCAAAACTTGTCCTTGAAGCACACAACAAAAATAGGGGAGTTAACCACCTGCGGCAAGCTTAATTGTCTCATCACTTGTCAGTTATCAACAGGGAATCCGACTAGGCGAAACTAAGCCTGGAGCCACTATAGTATCAACAAAAACCATATATTCCAACTACAGTAGTCCCTGTGTTTAATCTTAAAGCTCATCAGGTAGGGACTTGTTCCCCAACTGCTGGAAACCGGATCCAGCGTCCCATTCTAGTAAGCTTTCCAAAAGGTATTTCATTGACGTCCAGTATAAATGATGAGCTAACTAATAAAGACAAGTTCATGAATCATGATCTCACACTACTTCTGTAGTGAGCTGCGTATCTGGTATTCATTGAAACGAGGCCAAAGACATAGAAAGAACAACTTTTTTTTTTTTTTTCCCCCCATAGAAAGTACAACTATGAATTGCTATCCGAACAAACCCATCATGTCAGACCTAAAATCGGTCCTACATAAGCTCAAACCGAAAGCAGTACCCAGAAAGTGAAAATGTGTCAGGTACTATGCATATGAAGATCGCATAGGTATGTTTCTAAGTTCAAGACACTAGAGGCGATGCAACTGTTCTACATCATGGCCGTGATCAACAACGATCAGTATCAGAAAATGGTTGCCACGTCGTGAATCCGACCTATGGGATCTGCCTAGTCCAAGATCGCAATGGGCGATTGTGACCCACATGTGCTTCAGCTGCCGAGAGAATTGTAACTCCTACCATATTGAATACAAAACATCTAGGGTGAAATGATCCAACCACCGTTGAGAAGGGAGCAAAGAACGACAGATCTTACTTGCGAAAACATGTGAGGTAATTCACAAGAATGAGTGAATCTACCCTAGAATCGTGCTTAGGTGCACGGTAACTCCAACCATATGGAAAACGAGACACAACCAGGGCAAAACCAGTCCAACCGCAGTGGAGGGCGGAGCAATGAACCAGGGGGGTCAGTTATGAAATCGATACAACCGCCGTGGAGAAGGGAGCCATGAACGACGGCTCCCAAATGACAGATCTCACTTATGAAAATGATCCAATCACAGTGCAATGGGGACCGATGAACGACAGACCTAATGAAATCACGCGAGGAGAATTCACAAAAACTAATGAATCTACCCTACAATAGTGTCTAGATGCATGGTAAGTTCTTAGACCGTTAATCAAGGCGCGTCGAGATATACAAGGAATGATATACAAAGCCAAGAGAATGAAGCACACATCAACAGAAGTCGAAGTCCGAATTGATAGACCGTGAGCTTAGCACCGAAATAGACGTTTGGAAGTCATGGAGAGATTGGATACGAACTTGCACCAAGCAGGCATACTTCCAACGTTATCGCTCCCATCACTGCCCGTAGCTCTCTCACAACTTCGAGAGTGTCGATGTCCATGTAGCCACAACTGCGATACACTAGTTCTCAGGTTAGGCTATGACGTCCCTTCCATTTTTCTTTTTTTTTCTTGTTCTTCGTCTTCATCAGTCAACGCAGGTGACGACCCCCGCTGCTCGAGAGCATTTAGCTTCTGTGAGTAGTCTTCGGAGTTTCCAAAACGCCTGGAGTCTTCTAGAGAAAACTCCTCCGCCCGAAACGCCTCCTTGATTTCTCCTTCCTCGAATTCGTCGTCTTGGCTTTCAGAAACCAGAATCTCATCCTCCTCGTGACTGAACGAGCCCTTCCGGTCGAAATCTCCCTACAGGAACGTATTGGTGAGCAGGTACATCCCTCCCATTAGCTGCTCATGCTCCTCTACCTGAGCGGGGCCTTCCTCTATTGTCCTCACTTCCTCCACCAGACTGTGCGTACCTGCCAACGCCAACTTCATCATCCAACCAACATCCTTACTTCCCCATGGATCCTTCTCCTGAAAGGGCTTGAGGACTAACTCTTCCTTCTGCTCGTACCCCTTTGGTGCCAGCCATATGGGGTGGCTGACACAACTGGGCACTTGCAGGGACCATTCGTTTATGTGCAGGCAAACGTCCTCCTCTTGATCCAGAAACCCATCAATTGGCGGTGTGTCTTCTATCGATTCCTCGTCCGATCCGTCCCAGTTGATGCGGCTTAACCCATCTGCCCTGTTCTTGTTCCCTGGGATCACTTCCAGCTCGAAATTAAACATCCAAATGTAGGTCAACCATCTTGCGACGGTTGGGTCAGATGGAGTATAATTCTTCAGGGAACACGCCAGTGCAGTAGGGTCCACCCTCAAGATGAGCCTCGTGCCAAAAACATAGTTCCGGAAGGTCCTTAGGCAATGAAGTACTGCCAACGTCTCCTTTTTGAACTGAGAGTAGTTCCTCTCAGTTGTATGGAGGGTACAACTTTCGAATCTTAGCGGTCTCTCCTTCCCCTCAGTATCTGCCTGAATCAGGACCCCTCCAAAGGCAGTTGGCCCAGCGTCCTGCCAAAAACATAGTTCCGGAAGGTCCTTAGGCAATGAAGTACCGCCAACGTCTTCTTTTTTAACTGAGAGTAGTTCCTCTCAGTTGTATGGAGGGTACGACTTTCGAATCTTAGCGGTCTCTCCTTCCCCTCAGTATCTGTCTGAATCAGGACCCCTCCCAAGGCAGTTGGCCCAGCATCCGTCTCAATGACGAATGGTCTTTCCTCCGTGACCTCATAGTTTGGCGCTCCCAATACCAAGCTTCCTTCCTTAAACTCTACCTTCATCCTACCGATCGCCTCTTCCTGGTCTTCGCCCCAGACCCATTCTTGATCCTGGCGCACCAACTTCCTTAAATGCTCCGTCTTCGTGGCAAAGTCCTTCACGAAGCTCGTCCAAAATCCGCACGTCCCAAGGAAGCTCCTCACATCCGTTATCGAGCGGAAGGGCACTGGCCACTCAAGAATCTTATCTGTCTTCTTTACGTCAGGCCTCCGCCCACTCTCATTGCAGACGAACCCTAGAATCATGGTCTCCCTCATACAATGTTTCGATTTGGGGCCGCTCGCCGTCAGGTTATGTTCCTCCAATAACCCCTGAACCTGATCGATGTCTTGAACATGCTTCCAGACAAAGCGCCGCACATCGGGCATCACTTCATCTTCCTCCTTCTCCTTCGGACCTTTGACCGCCAGGTCATCGATATAGGGCTGAGTGATATGTGGGCTGACCGTCTGCATGGCTCTGATCATATGCCTTTGCACCATCGCCACTGCATTCGTCCAACCTTGAGGCGCCACGTTCATATGAATCAGCCCTCTGGGAGTGTGCATTGCCGTTACGGGCCTGTCTGGTGGGTGTACGGGGAATTGGTCATACCCCGAGTAGAGGTCTATAAGCGAGATTATAGGCCTCCCTGCGCACGATTCTGACAATGCGTCCGCGTTCGGCAATCCTCCCGCGTCCCGCACTGTCACCGCATTTAGCCGTTGCAAGTCTTGCACCCACCTTAGCGTCCCATTTGGTTTAATAAAACAAAACCAAGGCGACGCGTACGACCCACTGGAATAATCGGCCACGTGCGTCCGCATTTTGTCGTCCAGGTAGTCCACCACCATCTTTTCCTCATCCAGATTGGGGCACGGCGCGCCCCTTAAATTCCATGGCTCGTGCGGAACGGTGTGGATTCGTATCATCGGGATCTTGTCCACATCCACCCTCCCACGCTCATCGTCATTGAAAGCATACGCACGGTGCCTTTTCTTCATCAGCCCCACCATCAACGCTCTTTCCTGGGGCGACAGGAAGTCGGGCTCCCCGATTATCAACTTCCCCTCATTCTCGTCGTTGATACGGCACGGCCCGACCAACGCGTGCTCCCGCATACGCTGTATCAATCCTCGTTCCCGCTCGTAGTGGGCTTTCTCATCCTCCGTGACGAGCACGGGAACTGGGCGGCACTTCTTATCTACGGTCTTGTACCGCCTTTGGGAGCCCTGCTTAAGCCCTCCCCTAAAAAAGGCCGACTTGTCGTTCGGGCCTGGGCCATTGCAGGGCCTCCTCCCCCTCCTGAAAGCCGATACACCAACTCCACCTCTCCCACTTGAGGGTTCTCCAAAACCTGCTCCCTCAATGCCTTAATGGCCTCCGGATCCGCCATGTCATGAGCCGACACCACCTCCATGGCCTTATTCATATTTGTGAGGCTCAGTGTCAGCACCTCAGCCTTATCCTCCTCCTCGGGCACTTCCCAGAGCCGTCTCCGCTCGTTCTCTGACTCCTCAAAGGTGAACGAGCCTAGATTGGGCCTATTCCTCCCGCTCCCCGGTCCCGTGTTTCGGCAGGTGATAACTTTATAATTCCCACACGCCGGGTCCCACAGGAGCAGGATCATTGTTCCGTCGTGCTTGTTGAAGATCAACATTTTCGTTCGGCACAGGAACGACCGCCCTAGAAGGATGGGGTGATCGACATCAGGCATAACGAAAAAGCAGGTCCTGGCTCGCACCTTCCCAATCTCTATAATCACATTTGACGCCGTGTCGCAAAAGGCAGCCTTGCAGTTAGCGCCGTGGAGCATGCCATGGTCCGAGCGGTCGATCTCCATGCCTATCATCACTGCCTCCTTCTCCCTGATGATGTTCATCTCTGCGCCCGTGTCCACCATCCCAGTACACTTCTGGTTCCTTATCACCAAATCCACCTGCCCGCACGCCACACACTTCCAATCGATCCTTGTCCCTGCCTAAGTCCACTCCACCTCTCTAGGCAAGACCGTACTTAGATGGATATTTGGCACCAGCCTTCGCGAGAGTCACCCTTTCAACTCCCCACGGAGCCTCGGCGCCGACGCCAGGATATCCTTCAGGTTCATTAAGTCATTATGGCCTTTCAGGAGCTTGTCCACCATCCGTTCCACATCAAAACCTTCCTCCATTCGGACCGCGTACTTCTTCCTCTTAGGTACACTGTCAGGTAGGCTTGGCTCGGCCTCCTCCCGGGCTCCTCTCTTTTTGACCCTCAACTCCGCCCGCTGATCCTCCTCTTGTTGGAGCCTCTCATCCTCTTCGTCTTCATCCTCTTCCTCTTCCTTCGGGACCTCCACCACCTCTTTCCTGCGTCCTGGCTCCGGCTCCTTTCGAGGGGGTGCCTGACTGGGCTCTTCGCTAGGCCCGACCTTGTTTTGGCTCCTAGTCCGAGCCGCCTGTGGCACCCTCCCATGCGACGTGGGGGGTCTATAGGCCATACCTGACCTAGGGCCCATCCCTACAGTCGCCACTCTTGGGTACCCCTGTTGGCCTGGCGAAGGCTCAGGTCCGGAGTCGTAGAGGAAGACCTCAGGCAGATTGGCCTCCCACTCTCGCGCTTCTTCACACAGGGCCTGCAACTTCCGCAGGTACCTTCCCACCTTTTCCAGCAGATCTTCCATCCTCCCCAGGAGGACTATGGCCGGCTCTCCTTCACCTTCCTGCCCCTCGTCATCCGATTCGACGACTGTTGGCTCCTCCCTTATAGTCCCCGCCTTTAGTCGCTGAGTGACCTCTTCACTATCCTCTACAATCTCCTCGACTCTTACGGTCGGCTCTTCCTTCTCCTGCCACATCCTAAACATTGTCGGGGGTGTTGTGGGTCCCGCTGCTGCCCGCCGGAGAGCCTCTTGCCTGATTCCTCCCGGGGTCCTGGGGTCGATATGCTCACCCCACTTGTCATATATATCCCCGTCTATACAGGAGGAGATTATCCCTGACAATTCATCCTCCCACCGCCGCTCGCAGAACCGTACAGTGTGGCCTACATCGCCACAATGCCAACAGGTGGCATTTCGCCAATCAAAGCGGGGTCTCCCATACCCTTGGCCCCCGTCCTGGCTGCCCCGGCCGCCTTGGTTCTGGCCCCTTTGACCATTCAAACCACCTCCACGACCCCCACCACTTCCTCCCCGGCCTCGGCCGCCACCTCCTCGACCCCTTTGACCTCGTCCTCCATTGCCTTGTCCGCCTTGTCCTTGGTTTCCTCCACCAGCCACGCTAGCCTGCGAGGCCTGTTGGGAGGGAGGCGGTTGGGCCACAAACTGACCCTGGGCCTGCATAAGGGACCATTTGCCCGGGGTGAGTTTGAATGCCCCCGCACGAGGTGCAGTGATTACAACTGGGCCAGGATGCAGGCTGACAATGCAGCACCCAGTGCCCACAAGCCGGCGGTGGCCCCATACTTGCCGCTGGGCCTGCATAAGGGACCATTTGCCCGAGGTGAGTTTGACTGCCCCAGCACGAGGTGCAGTGATTACAACTGGGTCAGGATACAGGCTGACAATGCGGCACCCAGTGCCCACAAGCCGGCGGTGGCCCCATACATGACGGCCCAGTCGTCGCTGACGTTGTCGTGGCTGCAGGTGGCGGCGCAGCAATCGCTTGCGGGACCTGCCCTTTTCCGGATCCTTGACCCCCCACTTGTAAATTCCGCTGCTTCCTCTGGGCCTTGGTTAGAATCTGGGAGCCCGTTTCTTCTCTGCCATAGTCCTCGCGCCTAGCCTCCTCTTCCACTGCCCCGGACGCCCGGCCTTGGGCCACGGTCACCCCCCTCTTCTGCACTTCCGCCTCATTATCATACCCTAGCGCTGCCAATACGTCCGTGACGATCCTCTTCACTCCTGGGGTCCCGGACGCGGTGGCGTCCCTTTCCTTTCTCTTGCGCCTTTGCAGCCGCACCTGGTGCTGCTCCACCTGGTCCAGGCTCCCCTCTTCCACCCTTTTGTCGATAGTGGCCCAGGTGAGTTTCTCATTTCCCCCTCCGTGACCCATCAGCTCCGAGGCCTCCAAGCGAGTAAGCAGACCCAAAAATATGACGCACTGCGTTTCTTCGGAGATCCCGTGCACCTTTCGCGCCTTCCTTTTAAACTCGTGCACAAACGCCCCAATCGTGGAGAAGTCATCCTTGTTCATGGCCTCCAAATCCGCCATGGTTAACAAGCCATCCCCGAACCTGTACTTTCTCTACATCATGTCCCTGAACCTCGCCCAACTACCATTGGCGGCATCCACGACCTTGCCCACTTCCTTATGGTGGCTATGAAGGACATATCTTAGGACTCGCTGGAGCTTGACCTCGTCTGACAGCCCCACCAGTACTTGCTCCGTCAGGTCCAGCCAGTCGGACACCCGTTCTCCCTTGAAGTGGAATGTATCGACCTTCGGGACATTGCTCGGCGCTCTCTCGCGCTTATCCAGTGCATCGATGAGGTCGTCGAGCGTTACAAGCTTTYTCCCACCGTCCGCCATCTCCTCAGGCATTTTGATTAGYTGYCTTCGGCTTCAATCCCCCTGTTATAAGAAGCGATAGGACGAAAGGTTCCACTCAGCAGCCCATTCCTTCACGATCCTATCGGACCGACCACCTAAACACCCGACGCTCTGGACCTGGCAGACATTTCTCTCTCTACTTCCTACCTCCCTTGGGTTCACCTAAGTAAGACCTCTTCTCATCACAAAATTCACTCACATACTCGCCTCGTTCATGCCATCAACCAAACCACCAATCAGATCAACATTCACACCCACACAACCATATAGACTACTATACAATCCATCTCATAGTTCTTCTCTTATTTGCTCACGTGCCTAGTTCTCTCTCATTCTCATACCCGGATGTCGTTCCATCAGGGACAACGGTAGGTTTCCGTCATCCCCGGCAACAGCGCCACCTGTCGAGCGCATCGGTCCGGCACCGCACGTGGCAGCGCGGGACCCTCTCGGCCGCGTCACGCAGGAGTTGGACCAACCTCGATACAAACACGCGCATGGAGCTTCCTTAGGCCGCTCCGGCCGAGTGCGCCAGCCATACCTCTCGTGAGCCCCTATGACAGGATAGGGCCTATGCGAGGCACAAATTACCTCCACCTTACTGGAGCTGTCACCTCCCTTCGGTGGGCGTATCCCCGCCGAGCTACCAGTCCACAGTACGAAAGCTACTCGGTTGCAATCGCAGAGGTGGACCAGCCGAGGGCGTTTCTCGTTCGCTGTGGCATAGGGGGTACGAGCGGTAATACGCCTATCGGACCCGTACGCGAACCGACATCTTGGGGGGCTGGAGTCTCAAGCGAGGCCCGACATCGGTCGACTAGGACGCATCCCACACACCACGCGCACACCACCTTACGAACACAATAATAAAACAAACGCGCACACACATACGAAACCACACAACGCAAACAACGCGCCAACGCTCCTAGCCCCTCGGTAGCCAACCCATAACTTTCCGATGCAGAAATCAGATAGACGTCGCGCGAGACTCAGTATAGAAGTCGCGCGAACGCAGGGCTAACTCATGTCGACTCGCAATGCAAACGCACGCACGCGGTCGCAGTGATGGCGTACTATGTAGTACCCATACTCACGCGGCCCTCGTTACTCTCGAGGGTCGCATTCGACACTCAAGTGTCGGCTGACAAGCGCCTTGAGGGTTAATCTCTCGACGCTAGACAACCGCTGTGCGCGGTTGAAGACCACACCCTCTTCTGCACCCTTTGCAGAGGGGTTGAGTAGACAGCATTAAGCTGTCATGGCGGTCGAACATCAAGGGGTTTGACTTTGACGGCCGCCACGGACTATAACGTCCAACCATGAAAACGCAAAAAAAAGGAAACTCACTCTGACCCTCATTAGCTATTGGCCCTCTAAAATGGAAAGGAGGTGGATAAGCCCAAACGACGCGCGCGCGGAGGAGGTCCGGTATCCTATCCATAGGCTACCCAGCGTCCGGGATAATGAGGTCCGTGCACGAACCCCCAAAGGCTGACTGGAGCTAGTCCTCCGCCCACGTGCCGCTTCATGTTACGCTCGTGATCCCGCCGCCTGACCCATAACTCTTTTAGTGCGGGATGCGACGAGTGTCGCGCACGAACTAAGTATAAGATCGCGAAGGCAATGGACTTACACATACTATCTCGCTATGCAGTTCCACACGAGTAGCCGCAATGACGGCGCATTGTGTAGTGCCCACACCCAAATGGCCTATTCTGAGCCAAACGGTCACCTTTCGACGCTCAGGCGTTGGCTGAAGCGTGAGCCAATGAGGGTAATCCCTTTAGCACGAGTACAACCGGCCTGAGGGCTTGTCCGTCTTCAGCACCCTGAGGTGTCCCAACAGGTGCGGGGCAAGACGACCCCTAGGGCATGAGGGACTTTGGAGCGGTAGTGAGTTGTCTGGCGCATCACCAGCAACACGCTGACCCTTCCGTCCGGAACTTTATCGTTTCACCAAGATAAATCGCAACGAGGAAAATAAACAAGAATTGGCGAGGGATATCCCCTCTTTCTATTCACCCCGCCCTTCGACTGACCCTTAGTACGCGGACACTTCAGGCCACGCTAGCTCCACACGTAGGTACACATGTACTGGCACATATATATATACATGCACAAGGGGAATAATTATTTGACGATCCCTTCTCACAGTCATAGTGGGCCTCCTCCTAGCCATACATATATATGTGATCGCAAGGCATCCCAACCAAAACCCCAAGTCTTTGAACATACCTGCAATCACATCAAAAGTCAAACAAAAGTCTACACACAACGCGAAGTCAACTCCAAACAGTTCCTATACTCATACCCCTCGCTTTAGCCATGCAAGCTCCAACTTCCAACCAATCAACCTCAATTAAATACTCAGTACCTTTGTTAAATGACCATTCAATAAAAGTCCGGGTGAAACCCTTAACAACAAAAAAAAGATCACCTGGGCTAAAGCCTTTTAGGTTGAGTATGGGGAACGAGTAGGAATTGAATCGTGAGCCGACGAATCGGCAACCGACCTGTTATCAGTGATAACAGATGATGATCCTTGCAGGATCAAACTGAACTAGCCCAAGCCCTGAATCGAATGTCCACGAAAGGTCTGTTCCATACGACAAGTCAATGTCCAAGCTAAATCATCAGCATACGGGGGATGACCCTCCATAGCACATTCTCACCCAAGTTACCTACCAACTAAATCAAAATCTACCCCTAAGCCAGTGCCCAAGCAAAGGTAGATTAACGGCAGGATCTTCCCTATTCAGGGTGGATCGCAAGAATCGCCATCTATCAGAATATAACCTAACTCCTCTAAATCAAGAAAATTTTGGCAGCGCTTCCCGTAGGAAAAGTGTCTTTTCAGAATTCTTATCAGCCCGAATATGAGAACAAAAATAGTCTTTGACTTTCCAAAGTTCAATTTTGTCTAACTCTTTGAATTAGCAAAAAAATTGGCAGCACTCCCTTTAGAAAAGGAGACTTTCCAGATTTTTACTAAGCCATACATGAATTTTAGACAGGTTGAACTTTGAGAAGTCAAGAATTGACTAACTCCCCGGATTTGTAGAAATTTCGGCAGCGCTTCCCGTAGAGAAAGTGGCTTACCAAAATTCATACAAAGCCAAGTAAAAAAAAAGATCCCAGAAAATGCGAGAGTCGATCCAAGTAAAAACTTAGCTTAGAAAATGCAAAAATTGAACTAACTCCTATCGCTCTAGCACGAGGCGAGCCTCTAAAGCAACTACCTGTAAACCTGAAACTCAAACCAAGTAGTAGCCTCACTAAGCCACATGCAATGTCAAACCACAAAGGTAAGTACTCTCACCATCCCCAAGCCAACTTGGCAGACAATAGTTCGTAATCTCTTGATGCCTTATTCCCTTATATCCAGCTTACATAGGGCATAAAGTCAAGTCGTCCAATCTTATGGAACCTGCCTGACTCAGCCATTGAGTATACACGAACAAGTTGCACAACTACTTCTCTCTTCCTTTTGGGGCATATGACTAAGCCGTTCATCTTAGAACAAGGCTCATCCGCCCTGAACTGTTTAATATCCAAGTTATATATACCTCTCTGCACTTAGTCTTCCAAATGGACATAGGGCTGAACCGCTCATCTTAGAACGTTACTCAGCCTGCCAAAGTTTACCTTCAGTTATATCTCTTTAGTCATACTCTCTTCATTTCATGATAAGCTATAGCCAGGCCGTCCAATCTTATGAACCCATGTCTGAGTAGCCTGTTCTTACATAGGATAGTATAGAATATAGCCAAATTTTAACCTTTTGGGTTCCAGCATGTGCGAGGCATCGGGCCAGACCGTCCAATCTTATGGAACATATCTAGTCCTCTGCCAGGTTCGTTGCTCTCTGATCCACTGTGTGCGGCATGAGTCCAAGGCCGTCCAATCTTATGGACATGCCCTGCCCTCAACAAAAATTATCCCCTCAGAATAAAACAAGGTGGGCTGAGCCGTCCAATCTTATGGACTTGCTCAGACCTCCTCAATCAGAAACAAAAGAAACAGAACAAACCCAAACAAACATGGCAACCAAACCCTCCAGTCTTATAGTACAGGCTTGGCCCCTAAAAAGTCAACCACAGTAAACCCTCACAGTTCAGAGCAATCAGACCGTCCAATTTTATGGAACTGATCTAATCCTCCAGGCAATTCAAAAATATAACATATCGGTTAAGCCGTTCAATCTTATGGAACTGGTCTGACCCCATAGGACCCTGTCAACCTCAGGCAAAACCACCTTTCACCCACCCCTTCTCCCAGACGCAACCCCTTGTGTTCACAATCTGCCTTCAGRCAATCAACAAACTGAGACTWCGATTGCACACACATTCCTTTATTTAGTCTRACTTGTGTCCTGCCAGTCAATCCAAAGTCAAAATAGGGGTACATACAGTATACTCAGTCAACCATAGCAAGACGTACAAGTAGGGGTTATATCAGGGTATATAAAGGGAAAGCAAACGGTTACCTTTCAATTCCCTGCCTCCAGAGCCGCGCCTAGGCTCCGGCAGAGCTCCCGCAATCAGTGGGCTGACTCCCCACAGAGTCTTGCTGCGGTCCTACGGGTTGCAATCCCGCCTGCCGCCTTCGTCTCAGAACCAATGGACTAGACTTAGAGTAAGAAGGGCATAAGTAGAGGCATTTAGTCTCTCAGATACAAGAGAGGTGCACTCAGACTCG